TAATAATATAAATAAAATAATGACGGGGTTACTACGGATTTTCGGGGTTATCGAACAGCGAATTAAGGTCCAATTCATGTTCCGGTGACAGTAATATATTAAAAAATACTTATCTTCAATTTACCTCTGAAGTCTCATGAGTCTGAATAGTCCAATTCTAAGTCAACTAGCTCTGTGACTGATACTTCGATATTTTTATTTCAGAGTAATAAAGCTTCAAAAAGTCATCATCCTTGACAATAACTAATGATTTGCGTGGATGTATGATTTCCATTCCATCATCGATCGTCCATTGAAAATCGCTTAATATTATTCATCCAATCATGAGACTTCACAGATGCATTTTAATCCAATGTCATGTATTAGTATTAGTAATGATTTGGGTTTGCTTTTTGATTTCCGCTATTATAGAATCAAATTCCGAATTTCTTCCTTGATAGCTTCAAATTTTGTGATTCTAGAATCAAATTTTTCTTTCTTAGCAAACTGTTCTAATTCTTTGTCTCTTGCAATCTCTTGTCCCAATAAATCTAATTCGGATTGCATGTCTGATAATGATTCAATGTCTCTTGCAATCTCTTTCCCAATAAATCTAATTCGGTTTGCGTGTTTGATAATGATTCTTCATCAGGAAACTTTTCCTGCCGTAATATTACATCCATAAGTTTTAATATGAAATGATGTAATATTTCGCATAAAAAGGACATAATATTTACACTGAATGTAATAATTGCATAATTTTTGTGCAATTTTTGCATAATATTACACTATTTACGTAAGTTTATGGTGGGCCCCATAATATTATGTAAATTTACATCAGAAAAAATTTCCTGATGCTTTGACTCTTGGAATCTTTTGTCTCGATAAATCTAATTCAGATCGCATGTTTGATAATAATTTTTTATTCAAATCAAATTAATGCATGGAGTGTACCTTCTACAAAATAGAAAAAATTGAAATCATTCACCCATATAGATATGTCAAATATGTCTCGCAAATCAAAGAAAATGCTAAAGATCGATATTATTGAAAAGTTGTCATCCTTGACAATAACTAATGATTTGCGTGGATATATGATTCTATTCTATCATTGATCATCCATAGAAAATCGTATAATATGAGTCAAAAGACTCTATTCTCCGCATATTATTTGTCCAATCATGAGGCTTTGCAAATGTGTTTTAATCTAATGTCGTGTATTATTATGTAATTAATGGATCTTCTCTGTTTTACGAATAAATAAGAGGTATTTATTGTTGTTGCATAAAGATGATTAAGTATATTTTTTGACATCAAATGAAGTCTGCATAGTATAAGATGTGCCAAAGTTTCAATTTTACCTATCAGAATGAATAAATAATTATGATTGGCAAAGGCAATGGGTCGTCCATAGTAGATAAATTTTTAATGGACTGACCATGTAATTCGAAAAAAACTAATGATTATTGATAACTTTAATGATATGTACTCACAGCAGACTGAACATCCGTGCTGGAGAAACTCTGAAAAGCATATAAAAACAGCACAAATTCGAATTTGTATAATTTATCTACTTCATAACTATAACATTCAAATAAATACAATAAAAATTTGTTAAATCAATCAAATCCACATTAATAAATAAAACGTAGTAAATCAAATAAACATCATAAATTAATGGGGTGTCCCACATCATATGATTTACAAACATAGTCGATCACATATATAAATTTTTATTAAGAAGGATTTTTCATC